CAGGCTGTTGCGGTTGATCGTGGTGGGGCTTGAGGCTGGGTGGGTGTGGGGCTTACTCGACCCTCACTTCCTTTTTGGCAGAGTTGGAAATGTAGTTGTACATAACCTCATTGAAGTCATTGCTAACCTAATTACGTAATAGTTTCGTATATTCTCGTCATAAATCAGCTCTGACGTGTGGTCGAATTTCTTTGGCAGCTTCGCGGCTGTTTTGGGTTTTTTTCTGTGTGTGTGTGAAAACCATGCGTTTAGTGTGGATGTGCCCCGAGGGGAAACGTTAGTTGGTGAGAGCGAAGCAGTGACGCCCGGATGCATCCAGATGTTTCATGTTACCGCTGCGTATCTTCCTGCCTGTCCGCGCACTCTTAAGAGGGAGAAATTGTAAGGTCAATGGATCTCGGAACGGTACAAAAAGGGACAATGACTGGCACGGTGCCAAGTGGCTATGCAGACTACTGTTTTTAAGACCACTGAGAAATGTAAATGCTGGAAGGGACTATAACTAACCAGACTGTTTGCATTCCATGCAACAAAAGTTTGAGATTCTTAAAAAAACAATTAAATTAATAATAACCATTCAAGTCTGTAATAAAGTCTGATCCAAATTGTTACTTGTATTATGCATGATTTTGAATATAAAGTGGATAGAAGACTCTGTGTGATAACAAATGATTTTCAGTTACTAGGATGGAACTTGATTACAAATGAGCAGATCAGATGCACAGTTAAGGCGGAGCAATTTTGAGATGGAGTTATAGAGGGAAACTGACGTCATTTGTATTCATTTTTCATCTAACAGTTCTGGTAAACTCGTTTCAATAACTGTGGGGTTTGCACGTTAAAAGATTGACTTTTGTCTCGTTTTCCTCTTCACTGAAGCGCGGGACTAGGCCCCAATTGTACTGTGCTTGTACAAGTACTGTGCTTGTACAAGTGCTTGTTCTGTGTGAGCTAAACAGTTATGCTCTACTTTAGGTTTGTCAATTTGTTTGTGAACTTGACTTACATTCTAATCCGAATCTTAACGCGTAAAGACGTTTTATTGTATTATTTAAGAATACTTTTATTTACTTAAACTACATTATTAAAATGTTGTTCCTTTTTTTTAAAAAAAAACACCTTTAATATATGCCTAATATACGACTTATCCATACCTTTTAACCTATAAGTACATATAAGTTGTCCTTACAAGGCCAGAGCGTCCTTTTTTTGGGGGGGGGGGGGGGGGGTTTC